GGGAGGCAGAGGCAGGCGGATCTCTGTGAGTTCGAGGCCAGCCTGGTCTACAAAGGGAGTTCCAGGACAGGCTCCAAAGCTACAGAGAAACCCTGTCTCGAAAAACCAAAACAGAAAAAAAAAATTATATATAAGATGCTGTCCTTAATAAGCTCGCTTGGTGTGGCTTGAGGCCCAGTTTGTGTAAGACCTGATCCCAAACTTTCCTCCTTTACTTTCTGAATCCCTGGTTCTCTGCTGGTCCAGGTCAAAAGGGGAAACAAACAAACAAAAAAACTCAACAACAAACTCTGAACCTTGGACTGTGTGAAAAAATGATCAGTTTAATAATGTTTGTGTCCTTTTAGGAAGCTTTGTTTTGGAATAGATTTAGGAGGCTCTCATGTTATTCTAGAGAAGACATAGTCCACCCATGCTGAAGTTTCTATTTTATTCCTCACATTAGGCAACTGTTAGATTCACTTTCTAGTTTTTAAAAATTGTATTTATTGAAGAGTAGCTTCCAGATCACATTTTCTTTGTTTAAAAAGACTTATTTATTAATTATGCATACAGTGTTCTGTCTGCATGTATGTTGTAGGCCAGAAGAGAGCACCAGATCTCATTACAGATGGTTGAGCCACCATATGGTTGCTGGAATTGAACTCAGGACCTCTCTCAGGACCTCTGAAAAAACAGTCAGTGCTTTTAACCTCTGAGCCATCTCTCCAGCCTTTTTTTTAAACTTTTAATTTATTTTTATTTATTTTTTTGCTTTTTAAAGACAGGGTTTCTCTGTGTAACAGCCCTAGCTGTCCTGGAACTCACTCTTGTAGACCAGGATGGCTTCAAACTCACAGAGATCTGCCTGTCTCTGCCTCCCGAGTGCTGGGATTAAAGGCCCGCGCCACCACCGCCCAGATACATTCATCTATTTATTTATTTCTTTGGGGGATTGCATACATGTTGTGTCTTTCCTTCTCCCATGGGAGTCTTAGCTTCACACCAAGTCCCTTACCCACTGGACCATTTTGCCCTTTTTCTTGAGATAGGGTTTCAGTATGCAGCCTGGCTGTCCTGGAACTTACTGTGTAGATCAGGCAAAAGTCACAGAGATTTACCTGCCTTGTTGGGTGCTGGACTTAAAGGCATGTGCCATCATGCCTGGCATATAAAATTAATTTTAAATTATTTTTATGTGCCTGTGTGGGTATGTTTATGTATGTGGATATTCACTCTAAGGAAGCCAGAGGTGTGGGCTCTCCTTGGAGCTGGATTTATAGGAACTTGTGAGGTCCCCATTTTGAGTGCTAAAAACTCAACTGAGTCCTCTGCAAGAGCAATGATCATTCTCAACACTGAGCCATCTCTCCAACTCCTATATCGTTCATTGGAGAGGTGGTTTCCTCTGTGTAACAGCCATGGCTGTCATGGAACTTGCTCTGTATACCAGGCTGGCCTCAAACTCACAGAGATCTTCCTGCCTCTGCCTCCCAAATGCTAGGATTAAAGCTGTGCACTACCACCACCTGGCAGGTCATATTTTTAACTGCAAATTTATTCAGGTGTTGAAATGCCAGTTTTTGCAATCTGTAAAAAACATTCACGTTGCTTCTGACTAGTTTGTTAAACATATAATTAGCACCTCGGGATCTCACAGTGTCATTATTGCCCAAGAAAGGAAGTATCGCAGAAAAACATGGAGATGGTAAAGTTTAAGAAGCCTTTGTTTGGCAGCTTAAGGAAAGTACTGGAGAAGTGAAATAAAGGTAACCGCCTTGGCCTGCGATTGAGAGGTGGGCTGTATGATAGGAAAGCATTAGGGACAGTTTTGGCTATCAGCTGCAGAATGCCTAAGATCTAAACTCTGGCCCAATACCTACAATAGAATAGTAAGGGACAACAAAGAAAAAACTGGATCTTCAAGGTGGTTATACTGAGTTGGTAGTAAAAAGCCTCAGGTTTCCAGCTGGCCCCCAAGCTAAAGTAGAGAATCAGCGGAGATGGTGTGGACCAAGGACTCCACATCACAGTCAAAGTCCTTGAAGGGCATGGACTCCAATGGACTGGTATTTTGTGTCTCCATGACAAGGTCCACTGGCTGCTTCTTTAGGAGCTCAGGGTCAAAGGCCACACCCCGAAAGAAAGGGTGGCCCTGGAAGTGATGCAGATGACGTAGGCGGTGCAGAGGATTCTGGCATAAGAGCTGAAGGAGAACAGAAGGAGACTGGGCTAAGAAAGGCTAAACAGAGGCGAGAGGGAGCAAACAGTCTATGTAGCTATGGAAGGCAGGAAGATTTGTGAAAGAGAAGCATGGTGGTTGGAGAGAGTGGGAGGCTTGGTGGGGATGAAGGAGATGAACCTGCAGATGATAATGTAGAACTGGCCCGTGCTCTTCAAAAGGACCTTCTCTTCTGGTGAGGAAGGATTTAGTGGCAGAAACTCAGGAATGAGATCTGCAGTACCAGCTACAGGGGAAATGGGTAGTTGGAGCATCTCAACCCTCATCAGACAGACAGAAGAGCTGGGAAATCACTTCAATGGGATTGGGAGTCTAAAAGGAAAGTAGTTTGTACCCTCACCTCATGGAGCAGGAGTGAGAATTCCTGAGTGGCAGAAGCTGGCATCTCTGATTTACAGTGGGTCACACTTGCCAACATGGCCACATGATCTCTCTCTGCAGCCACTGGGAACTGCATTAAAAGGGTAGGGGGCGGGAAGAAGACAAGGCTTTCTACGGTCTTTTTCCCACCAAGTAAAGCTCTCTTCCCTGCTCAGCACCACTACTGTTCTCTCACCTTGCCAGTTGCCAGACAGAAAAGCAACACTCCCAGGGACCACCAGTCAGCAGTGTGGTTGTAAGGCCCACCACTTAGGACCTCGGGGGCTATGGTATGAAAGGGGCTTGTCACTCACTTCCCTAGGTGCTCCCCCCCCCCCCCCCCAGAGCTTTAGCTGCTCTCTCACCCATGTACTGAAGAGTGCCACAGATAGTGTAGGCTCGTGCTCCCTGGGATAGGCGACGAGACAGACCAAAGTCTGTCAGTTTCAGGTGGCCTATGGAATAGGAGACAGTGTTTTGACCTACGTCTTTTTTTGCAGAAGTACCATTCATCCTGAGACTGGAGGAGAAGACATACCTCGCTCATCCAGAAGGATATTCTCCATCTGAAATCATGGGAGAAAGGACATTATCTTACTCTTTCCACTGACTCTGATTTGGGTTTTCCATTGTTATTTTTGACATAGGGTCTCGTTATGTAGCCCAGACTAGCTGGGAATCTGGTACATATACCAGGCTAGCCTCAAACTTGTAGCATTCCTCCTGCCCCCACCCCCAACAGTGCTGAGTATAGGCAGGTATGACCACACCTGGTTTTCTTTCAGTCCACTCAGCATTCAAACCTATCCTTGGAGGACCCATACTTAAAATCCTTCGCATCCATAGGAACCCAAATAAACTGTCTCTGCTCCCCAGGGCCTTCTCAGACCTGCTGGAACTTCTTATTGAGGTTCTTCCTCAGACTAAGAAAAAAGACTTAACTCTACCTTTACATCCCGATGAATGATACCCAAGTCATGGAGATAGCCTGTGGAGAACGGTGAGCATGGGTGTATGTAAAGTCTCGTTTATGCCAGTTTCTATAGCCTCCATCCCATCTCTCCCTGACTTCCAGAATTGAATATCAATCCTGTTTTCCCCTCCCCACCAACTTAATTCTTCCCTTTCTATTTCCTTTACCACTTTTTCACTTACACAGCACAAGGACCAGTTCAGCAGCAAAGAGACGGATAGAAGCCTCTGGAAAACCACCAACAGCAGACCACAGGGAGTAGAGATCCATACTGCAGTAGCTACACACTGCAAAGCGCCAGAAGTCTAAGCAATATCTGGGGTCTACAATGCCTGGGCTCAAGGCATTATAGACCTCCTGCCCAAACTAATCCCGCCAGCCTTTCCCCTCTTCTTTCGGATTACAGAAATACTATTCTGCAAAGCAGAATAGCATCAGGTTAGAATGGTCTGTGGGTTTTTGTGGGTGAAGACAAAACCCAGTCCACTCACTAATGAAGAGGTGTCGCTTCCCCTGCCAGCTGTCCCCCAAGCTGTGTACAAAAGGATGGTTGATCTGTCGCTAGAGACAAAGAAAACAGCAAGTTAGGAAAGAACAAGCTTATTGCTGATTAAGAGCAGCCAAGAAATCAGGTGTTGCCTTGTGTTGAAATGAAGTGCTGCTTCACCTGAGAGCTCATTTGGGACTACCTGAGAACCCTGGAGCCAGCACACTGCTAAGGAGAGTTCCCTGGCAGAACCTGCAGTGTCTACAGCTAAGAACGACTTTCTCAGGACTTATTTTGGTGCTACATTGCACCAAGGTGGAAACATGGGGGAAAGTAGAGCCAAGAAAAGCAGGTAAATTGGACTTTCTCCACCAGCAATTTAGTTCTTCCAGCCATGCTTTCAGAATTCTGCATACCTGGATGCTAACCTCTTCTTTGCACTGCCTCAGGGTATCCTGCTGTAGGACTTTTACTTTGGGCACCACCTACAAATGGAGAGGCAAACTCGTGGAAAATAATGATGTTCAATTTATTCCTCCTAATCTCTGAAACTAATAGGTTGTAAACAGTAACTGGGTGACTCCTACCTTCACTGCAAATACAGCTTTTTGGGCACAATCTAGCACTTTCAGGACAGTTCCAAAAGACCCTTTAGCCACAAGACCTAAAATCTGAAACAAAAAAAAAAAAAAAAAAGGGCACCTGAGACTGGCTGCTTCTAGATTCCTCCCAGACACACTTCCCGGGACTCCAATGACCTACCTGCAGTGTCTGCTGCCCCCTAACAGGCCTCATAGGAAACTCTGGTAGGAAGAGGCTGATGAACTGAGGCACTGGCCACACAGACAGAGGCTTCTCTAGTTGCAGTGGGGCTGGCTGGAGGGGTTCCTGACGTAGGCACTGATGCCTCTGTAGTCCCCTTAGTTCTTCCACTCCTGACCTGATGGCCCCCATACCACAGAAGAGGCTCTTCCAGCCTCGGGCCCAGGGACCCTGGATGTTGCCACCCTGCTGAGAAGGGAACTATTCTAAGCCTGCTCATGAGGAACTGCAGGTTCTACCCATCTTAACAGGTACTCCTTCTGAAGTCTTAACCTCTAAAGCAGTGGTTCAACTTTCCTAATGCTACAACCCTTAATACAGTTCCTCATGTTATAGTGATCCCCAACCATAAAATTATTTTCACTGCTATTTAATAAGTGTAATATTGCTACTATTATAGGTTGTAATCTAAATATCTGAAATGCAGATTATCTAATGTGACCTCAAGGAAAGGGCTGTTCTACCCCAAAGGGTCTTAACCCATAGGTTGAGAACCACTGCTCTAGAGGGAAGGAAAATTCCCAGGCCTTGTGATGTGACCTAGATTTCCTCAATGTAATTCAAAATCTTGATGACAATAACAGTTCTGTCTTCCCTATGACAAACCAGGAACACAATCTGTGCCTGAGTGGGGCTATTCACATAATAGCCTCTATGCCCAGACCCCCACACTGGCTATCACTGACAGGCTTCTTAACTAGGCACTTTCTGGCCTCAGGCCCATACCTCATTCATTTTCCATTCATAGGCAGCAAGAGCCCCATACCCTACCTTCTGAGGAGCAGATACCCGGGTGTGTAGCCCCTGCCGACAGCTCACTGCTCCCATCCCCAGCCTCTGCCTCCTCTCCTTCCGCTAAATCTGCTGTCCCAGTTACATAAGCAATTCCTCTCTCTGATGCTGTAGTACCCAGGAGCCCCGCCTCTTCCAGTGTACATAGACCCATCAGCTTTAGGTGAGTATTGTACCAGGGCTGGGAAGTATCTATTGTACGACTTCAAAGCAATGGAGAACGGCCACAGTCATATTACAGTGGCAGTTAAAAAATGGGTGGGTTAGTGAGGAGGGAAGGACACAGACAACTTGAACGTTTTTACTCAATACAACTGAAAAAAAGAGAGAAGCCAGCATCAAATTTAAAATATTTTTTTTTTAAATCTTTCTTTTTCTCCATTCTTCAGGGGATTCCCCAGGGGGGAAAGGAAGGTACCCATGGCCAGCCCTGGCTCCTAATGCCATCCTCCCAAGTGAACACAGATTGGGAAGCTGACCCTTCCCCCAACAGTAACACCTTTCATACAACAAGGCAGTGGAGTGAGGCACAGAGGATCAGACCCTCCCCTCAGCTTACTGGCACAAAGGGAGAGCAATTACACTTAGAAATATATATATATATATATACTATATATATATATATGTCTGTTTATAAAAATTTATCATACTTGATCAAAACTATCCCCCCACCCTTTCTTTTGCCCCCAAGAGTAGGATACTAGGCTTGAACACACTCCATAGGCCTTCTGGTTCTCTTGCCTTTCTGGACCTGGGACTAATAAGCATGAGGGAATTTAGCACTTTTGTCCACCATGCCCTGCAGGGACAGGCCAGTTGTTGAAGTGTCTCTCTCGGCTCCCTATAAGCTCCAAAGCCCCACAAATCCCGTGGGATGAGGGGAAGCTCTGCCCACCCTCAAGTCCCTGGATCCTGAACCAGAGCCAGATTCGATACTGCAGTCACTTGGATCTCCGGATCACTTGCGCCTGCTAAAGATGGACTTCTTGCCAGGGTTCTTGTCACCCACACTTAGACCAATAAGGAGCCGCGCTTTCTCCTCTTCCTGCTGTTGCATGTTCAGGTCAGATTTTGTCTCTAGCTTTCCCCGGACCTCAGACCCTGTTGCAGGTTTCAACCTTAACTTTTCTTTGATTACCTGGCAAGTGGAAAGGAGTAAAAGGAAAGGCAAAAATATTAGTGGAAAGGCCAAACAATTCAAACTGAACCAATTCAAAAATTTATTAAATTTACATGCAAAGCACAAGGGGGCAGTTCAAAATATATAAATAATAAAGTATATAAATAATGGTTTCTGCTTTAAAGAAGCTTACAATCTAATCAGAATCCCTAAAGCTGAGGTTGTAGCAGCCCTTAGTTCCCTCAAATTTGATAGTTAACATGAAATAAAACAGCGAATATTTGATCATATTGTGGCAATGTCAAGAACAAAATCAGTCATTTTATCTGCCCCTTTCTTGGCTATCTTTTAATATAGCGTAAAACAAAATGCCCCTAAGAAGGCAATTTGCTTGCCAGTCCCTGCTAACGAAACAGCCATGAGCCCTGGCGAGATACCTGGGCAACCAGAGCTTTTCGGCTGTCCCTTTTGACAGCCATAGCAAAGTCCAGCCATGTCCACGTGTTGTTGTGGTACTCAAGACAGGGTAGCACCAAGTTAAGGTCACCCCAGTCCACACTGTTCTTCTCACCCTGCAAAAGGAAAAGGAGGAAGGAAAAATTACATCAGCTGCCATCTTGAATCTAAGACAGTACTCGGAGTATAATTCCTATGACAGCAACCTACAGATACAGACTGGATACAGACTGGATTTCCCCTACCTCAGCCTGGTATTGGTGCTGACTCCTGCAGGAAGCAGAAGCAAGAGCAGGGTTGTCATCATGGCTCACTTTCACAGGAAGCCTGGTTGTCACTATCATCTTTAGTTCCCTTCCTACTCTGTTCTAGAAAGTGCTGGGATGGGACATACCTTATAACTGACGCACAGTGGAACTTGTGGGATTTTTATGTATATGAAGGAGTTGTTCATGGCAGCTCGCTCTTTCATCTTGTCAATATCATCAACTGGGTGCTAGGAAAGACAAGAAAGGAGTATAAGCCTCTAGAACCAGAAGAAATCAAATATCCTAAATATTACTCCCATCTTCTCAACCTTGGAATAAACTCAAAAGAAAAAGACCCAGCCAGGTCCAACAGCTCTGGCTGCCCTGGAACTTACTCTGTAGACCAGGCTACAAAAAAAATCCACCTGCTTCTGCCGCCTAAGTGCTGGGATTAAAAGCACGTGCCGCTACTGCCTGGCTAAAAAAAACCTTTTAAGCATATTAAAATGTTTTTATGTTTGTTTTTGAGGGCTTCTTTTGCGAGACAGGATTCATGTGGTCCAGGATGCCCTTGAACTCATGATGTTCCAACTCCTGTCTCCCAAGTGTTATGATTATAGAGTGCATTACCACAATCAGTTCCTCTGATTTTTCAGTCTTTAAGTGCATGTGCCATACCTCAGGTAATTTGCGAAATGATCTTCTGACCCCAGAACTCCGGGTCAAACCCTGTGCTACACCCTTCCCAGGGCCTAGTGGAACTGCATCATCTGTTGCCATCAGCTGCCGAGGCTTCACTACTGGAATTCCTATGAAAAAGCAAACACCAACACTCATCCTTTTCCTGAAGTGGCTTTGGGTGCTATTCTATTCTTCTGGCATTCCAGAGTAACAATTCTCACCAGTTGTCACCAATTTGGACTTATCCTCTTCATCACCAACTTCATCATCTTCCACATTTCGACCAGGAAAGAAAAATCCCATCATTCTATGGAAAAACTGGTGCGACAGCTGGATAGTGAGAGGCACCACATTCACCTGTGGGGGAAAGAGATGAAGAAGCAGTTAAGCTCAGGTATTAGCCTTGTCTTTAGTTACTAACCAGTCTAACAGGTTTTAGTGTGATCTGCCCTTTGACCCTGGGATTCCAAGGTAGTTTACTAACCTCAAAGTGTTCCTTAACAGAGATACCCCCAACAGGTGGTCGGACTTTGCTGAAAAGGCGGAGGGCTAGCTGTCTCCCCGACTGGCAGGAACTCTGGGGTCGCAAAACCACCTATAAGGCAAAGCAAATAACCCTACTAAATGTCTTCTCTTTTTAAAAATCAACTTACAAAACAAAACAAAACAAATCAATCCACAAACCTTACACAGAAGAACTGAAACCAACAGCCTTGCTAAGCTGGGCAAGCTATACCATCTCAGATCACACTGCTTCTTATTATGAGCTGATATGAAAAAGCCACCACAAATACCCTTTGCTCTAAAGTGTGTGGGAGCAGGTTAGGAATGGGGAAAATAAGGCCTACCATATAGATGGGGGTGTAGATTAGTAGAGTGATTGTCTAGAATGAACACGGCCTTGCCTAAATACCACCCCCCCCCAAATGACTTGCCTTATAGATAGCATTGGGGAGAAGATTGTTCATAGTGAACCAGCCCAACTCCAGGAGATGTTCTGCTGTGTCATCAGACTTATTCACCTATAGACAGACAGATTTTGTTCTGTTCATTATAAGCTTTCCTTAGGAACTCAATAGAGAATTACTATATGTGCTAATCTAACCCCCTGATTTCATTTTTCTCCTTCTTCTTTAAATCAGAATCTCATAAGGCCTCGAACTGTACCTGTGGCTGGCTTTGAACTCCTGATCCTCTTTACACATCTAGAACGATGAGATTATATGCATGCACCATCACACCTTATCAATATCTCTTTCAATCGCAACTGTTACTATTTTTCCCTTTCTTGTTTGTTTTTTGTTTTGAGACAGGGTTTCTCTGTAGCTTTGAAGCCTGTCCTGGAACTCGCTCTGTAGACCAGGCTGGCCATGAACTCAGAGATCCACCAGTCTCTGCCTCCTGAGTGGAGTGTGCACCACCACTGCCCAGCTTCAATCTCATATACAATCTACAAATCCTCTAATCTAATGTTTCTCATGAATAACACAAGTTAAACCCCCAATTGTTAATACTTTTAGTTACTGTGACATTTAAATATCTCATTTATTTTCAAACATCCCTAGTAATATTTTTCCCAGTGCAGGACATTTGCAGAAATGCTGTCAGTATCAGAATGGTACTATTCCAACTTGACTTAAAAAATTACTTCCCTCTGAGCCTTAGTTTTAAGAATAAACCACCCCCATTGTTTGTTTTTTTTTTTTTCTTTTCTGGAGACAGGGTTTCTCTGTGTAGCCTTGGCTGTCCTGGAACTTGATTTGTAGGCCAGGCTGGTTTCAAACTCAGGAGATCCACCTGCCTCTGCTTCATGAGTGCTGGGACTAAAGGCGTGCACCACCCACCTAGGCTGATTAGTCTTATCTATACACCTATCATTTATTATAGGTCAATGTGTCTCTAATCATCATTAATAACCATATGATTAGCCCTTTTATCTCTACATAGATTGAAGTGAAATAGGTTAAGACCCCGGACTAGCCTGGCGCTGTACGACTGGGTACCCCAATACCTTGCTGTAGAGGAACCTTTGTAGCTCCAGCTCAGCGATTCCCAACTGTCCGTCTTCCTCTGTCAGGCGCCAACGTGCCTGAGCAAAGTAAAACTCAGTGCGACGGACTACACTCACGTCTTCCTGTTGTTTCCGCAGCTCCATTTTGTTGGCCCGCTGCAGTTGGAAATCCTTAAAACATCTATGTGTGAACAGGAGAGCCAAACGAGTTAGGGAAAGAACACACAGGCAGGAGTGTGCAGACTCTAATTCCAGAGACCAACTCCTGGCTTAGCTAATGCTTCATTTTTTTCCTACTGATGCATTTTTCTGACACTCTGAACTATGGAATAGAAATCCTATCTTTTTTTTAAATATTTATTTTATTTATTTATTATGTATACAATATTCTGTCTGTGTGTATGCCTGCAGGCCAGAAGAGAGCACCAGACCTCTTTACAGATGGTTGTGAGCCACCATGTGGTTACTGGGAAATTAAACTCAGGACCTTTGGAAGAGCAGGCAATGCTCTTAACCACTGGGCCATCTCTCCAGCCCCTAGAAATCCTATCTTGTAGTTGGATAGCTTCTTCTTCTTTTTTGTTTGTTCGAGACAGGGTTTCTTTGTAGCTTTGGAGCCTGTCCTAGAACTTGCTCTGTAGGCCAGGCTGGATTCAAACTCACAGAGATCCGCCTGCCTTTGCCTCCCAAGTGCTGG